AAAGCGTAGTGTGATAATAAGCTGCACACTACCACTGCTGCATGTACATAGTACTAATTTACTAGGGCTCCCAAAGAGTGGATAGGGAGGTTGTGTTTGTCACTTTTAAATTTCACATTTCAAAATTGTCATTTTACATGTCATAATTTGTTGGTTTCATTCGTTTAGCCAATCAAAACATTGTAAAACAATAAATTGTCTGTTACGTACAATCAATTTTGTTCAGTTTTGATTAGTTGTCAGAATAAAGTTACGTTCATCTGAATCCATGTATCAAAACAAAAATCCTATTTTCACTTCAAAATACTTCAGTGAGATGAAGGCTCGGAATTGTCACATGCAATAACTTATTGTCGTATTCGTTATTTTATCTTCTCGATAGTAGCATTTAGTCGCACATTTGATGCCAGGTCACCTTGTCGCGTACCTCTTGGGGAACCCCACATTTATGTGTGTACTCATGGAAGTAAATTCCCCGGTGTAGCCGAGAGCCACAAACTTTTCAACAGGTTCGAAATGACCAATTTCTCTCATATATACTCTAAATATTTTATTATTTAGCACCTACAAAGTATTGCTTATAACCATATGTAATTTCAATAAGGAAACTTATCTGGCTACATTTAAATTCAATATCAACACTAGCTGTTCTCTCAACACGTCCTGGCTTACCTTATGGTGACAAACCCTGGATTTTCGCTATTTATAGTTTATCAACACCTGGACGCATGCGCATTTTATACTTTATCGGGCACTTTAAGGGAAACTAAACTGACTAAAACAACAAGGCATATGACATGAACGAAATCATACCATCTAGATATTGTTTTGGACAGTTATGAAACTACATGTTACAGTTTAGAGTTTGGTATAAGAAATAAGAGAGGAAACAGTAAAAGGAGGCATATTTAACCTGAAAATTCCCTACCTAGAAAGTGGATTCCCTACCTAGAAAGTTCTGAATGAACCAATATGAGTTGGATTTGACAAGGGGAGACAGTTCAGGTACTTGGCAGCACATGAAATGGCGAATTCCATTGGGCCTCAAAAAGTCTATGTCTGCCATTATTCCACTCATTGACAAGTTACACCTGGATTCCATGGAAGCAGGGGCAGAATTATAGCATGGGACAGATGAAACTCATTTTCACAACTGATGAATGCACTCCTCAGTCTAATAGATGATCCTTTATTAATGTTATGTTGCTGTATGATAAATTCAGCAATGACAACTCAATCAACACTGCAAGGAAGAATACATTTTTACAGAAGACTACTTCATTATTGACCACATTCCTCCAACAGCTGACGCCTTAAGGCAACACTGCAAAGGAGCATTGTACCAAGGTGTACATATCTGGGGTCAGTTTAACAAACCAAGTCCTATCATTCCCCGGGTATCATTCCATCTCCAAAGAACTGTGCCTGGAGAACAGAGCCAAGAGACAACATTTAGAAGCCACACAGGACTACCTAAAGCAGATGGCTGATGCTAGTCAACCATTGGTAAAATGTGGTTGTCAGAAGCAGTGTTTCCCATCAAGATGTCCCAGCTTGAAGGCTGCTCTAGTATGCACATCATTGTGTGCCTGTAATGGAGATCGAGTATTCATTAGAATAACTAAAGTAAGGGTTTAAATATGGTAATACTATATAAGATGCAAGATACCCCCTATTCACCTCCCCCCAAATTTATATGGTTGACATCTTAGAGTTGGCATTCTACTGTAAAATAATACTATAGAATAGTTTTTTATCATGCATGGTAATGATAAAGATCAAATCTTGGCTCTCCAAACTATTACACGCTTCCTTCAACAGTTCAATATATTATAAAACACAGTTTTGATTTTGAACAATTTCACCAATAGGTGGCGCTATGGGAGACATTCTTCATTATGTGTTTATTTAAATATTGTATGAAAGGAATCAGTTTCTACTAAAACATACAAACCTAATATATTCTTATGAAAAAAGGATAGAGATATGATAGGTACAGTACTACAGTATATATGAAATGTACATATTTTAATGATTTATCGAAAATTTGGACGAAATCTTAAAAATTGGGGGAATGAACAACCAAAATCTTCTTTTTAGATAATTTAAATGTTTTTCAGGGTAGAAATATTATAAATTGATGTTGAAACATACTAATTAACCACATTTTATTGAAAAAAAGGAATGAAAAAAATTATCAAATGAATGTTATATAATTGTCGGCAATTTTGGCGGCCATCTTGGATTTTCACCAAGAAGGAGTGCGATCCGTGCTTGGCAATGCGGATCAAAATTTTTAGAATGTCCATATTAGTCTATGTGCCAAAAATCTAAGAATATATATGATCGCGAACTATCGAGCCATTATTGACTGGGCTAAAAGAGACTTTGGCACCAAATAACTTGTCATGATGTAGAATTTTATTCAGTTGATTGTAATCAAAATATCATCCACTTGGCCAAAAAGAGGGAGAATACCCAGAATTCATAGATTAACCTTTCGCCATGTAAAGATGGACAGATAGAGGTCCAACTATGAATATTGGGATATTTCCTCCTCTTGGTTCTGATGTGAAATTTGGGAACAAAAATATTGATTATTATATCTTTCAAGTGAAATGATTAAATGCACTCACAAAATATTGTTGTTTATTGATTATAAACTAGAAAACAGTAACTCAATGGAGAAGCAAATTCCACCGAACAAAACATTTTTGATAATTTAATAAAACATTTTAATAATTGCCATCTTAAAAAATTTCTTCTTCAACAGAGGTCCTTCGTCCCTAGGTACCAGCATATCAAATTCATATAGTCAAATTCATACACTGGTCTTTGGGTTATCAAAGATATGTTTCTTTTATAAAAAATGGCAGCTGTTTTTTATTCAGCTGCCATCTTGGAAATTTCTTCTTGAGTAGAGGTCATTTTCCCATAGGCATCAGAAAATAAAATTTGAACCGAACATTACATTTTCTACGAAAAATGGCGGCCATTTATAAATTCGATAGCCATCTTGAAGATGCCTTCTCGAGCAGATCTATGTCAGTAAGTATCAACGTATAAATTTTGAACCGAATCTGTCCATTGGTATTTGAGTTATGAACGATTACATTTTTTCAACAAAAAATGGCCGCCATTTTGAGTTTCAGTGGCCATCTTGAAAATCTCTTCTTCAGCACAGTTCCTATCTCTCTTAGGCATCAGCATATAAAATTTGAACCCAATCGGCCAACTCAGTTACCAAAGATTACATTTTTTAATAAAAATGGTGGCCATTTTGAATTGATTGAATTGAGCGGCCATGTAGGAAATTCCTTCTTGAGCAGAGGTTCTACACCCATAACCCACAAGCCTATAAAATTTGAACCATATCCATCAACCCTGACACACGAACGAATGGACAGATGGACGAATGAACAGACAGATGGCTTCTCTATATCCCTATGAACTTCATTCGATGGGATAATAAACACCTAACCTTAACAAGTGCCACATGCAATAGTTCACCAATAACCATACAACATCTTATAAATATTCAATTAAATAAATTAAATATATTTACAACACAGCTCCTTCATACTGCCATAACCTTTCAATGAACAGTCTGTCCTGGTGATAACTCAGATATCGTTACACTGAATTTCTTCACATTTGTGGAAAGGTGAGTACAGAACATGGATTTACATAAAAATATTTACTTATTTTCATGTCCTAGATTGTGGACATTTAGGAATTACAAGACCATACAGTGTACATGATCAGTTGCATTTGTTTACACAACGTGTTATTCATTACCATAAATATTGAGCAAAACACTAGAGCACAGTAAGAAAATCATTTGAGCAAAGCATTATCTGGAAGAATAGAGATGAAAGAAATACATAGGAATAAATAATATGAATTACCAAGTATATTCTTCCTCTTGTGCATTACAAACCATAGTAAAATTAGAAAGAAACAAGTAGTAAAGTGAATGCAAGTGAAAGGATGGGTATCGATATGGTGAACTTTTTGAACACACATTTCTCTTAAACCAGTCATCATAAAATTCTGAAATTTTTACACATCGTTAATTTAATGGTCTTCTTTTCAATGGTAACAATATAATTTGAAATAGATATATCTTATTTTCTCGATATTGTTTTAGAAAACACATCAGACACTTCTTTTGTTCTTGGTACCATATGTTCGGAATGAAATGAAACATCTATCCAAACCTCATTGGAACAAAACGACATAAACACAACGTGTTTAGGACTCTCAATATTGTAATTATACAAGAGAAAGTTTGGTTGAATTAAAAAAGTATCTTGTTAATGAAATAAAAGGTTTATCTTAATTCTTAACTATTTTTGGGGTTTTTGAATACTTTTTTAAAATCAACCAAATTCCCTTTGTATAACTATAATATTGAGAGGTCTAAGAAATTGTTGTATATGCTATTTTGTTCAAACTAGCTTCGGAAAGATATTTTATTTCAATCTTAAGAATTGGTAAAAAGGAACAAAAAACAATTGCACTAAAAAACAAAAAAATTCACATTAAACTGTTGTCAATCAGTCAAAATTATACAAAGGACCATGTTTTTCCCCAAAAATTATGCTTTTTAGATTGTGTTATATACATAGAAAGCACTGCACTCAAAACAAAAATTTACCTTTAAACTAGAGCTCACAGATATATGCAAATAAATTGCAGAACAGTTGGAATAAGATTCAATGTCTTTTTTATATTCATAATTACATTTATTTCAAAAGACTAGATTTGGTGTCATACCACTGACTTTCTCTATTGCAAGCCCTGTATGATTACACTCAAAATGTTTCACCAGAATTAATTCTTGCATTTTCCAACTTTAAAAATCACTCTCAAAACAAACATAGCATTCTGATATACAAGGCTAGGCATTTTACATTTGTAGCAATTTTATCAGTTTGTGTTTTATCAGATAGATATTTTATCAGTTCCAATATAATTCGGCGCCGTTTCGGCATCGAAAACATTCGGCGCTGTTCCGGCACCGAAACCTTTCGACACCAAAATTTGCCACCGGACTAGTCAGTCCATTTGGTGCCGATACGGCACCGAAATTTGGCACCGTTACGGCGTCGAAAATCAGATTACATTTTGGGGGTGTATGCCAATCTCATATTTCAAGAACTGCTGTAAACAAGCCTCGAGAACATTGATTTGGAATTTTCAAGCAATTTTGTTGGAGAATCAAATTCTGCAACTTTTCCTTTATTCATAACAATGACTCGATCACTGTCCATCACCGTGTTAATCCTGTGTGCAATAGTTATTACTGTATTCTGTGAGAACTCCTTACGTATAGTGTCTTGTAGGTGTGTGTCAGTTTCAATATCAATACTAGCTGTGGCTTCGTCAATACAAAGCACCTGAAAAGTGAAATCAAGATTTTATTTTAACAAAAAGTTACAATGAAATATAAAGTTACTATAATAAACCATAGCTGAAAAGGTATATTTTTGTACTATTTTGTAAATCGTTTGATTCATGTACAAGTGAGCAATACCTCTCATATCTTAAGTCACATTTTATACATGTAAAGTTGCTTGCTAAATTACCTTAGCTTGAGTTAACATAGCCCTGGCAAGACATACGAGTTGACGCTGCCCAAGAGAAAAGTGGCGTCCTCTTTCAGCAACCTCAGCATCTAAACCTCCAAGACGCTCAACTGTCTCCTTCAAATGGCACCTGGAAGATAAAAGCATACCACATAATAAAACAGACTCATCATAATATCTATGTATTTACAAAAAAATAGATAAACATAAAAGTCATACAGACTATTCTATATAAGCTAGCATAGGTCCCTAAAATTGAAATAAAATATCATTATTGGCTTAAGTTTTTGCCACACCTTTTTAATTTTTCCTTGCCTGTTTTAGCATTTATGCACAGTTACCAAATATGTTCATAGATTTGAGACAGAGAATTCAAACATACAATCATTAAGCTCAGTACCTTTCTAATGTGTTCCACAGTTCAGCGTCGTCATAAACTGATGTTGGGTCAAGATTATCCCTCACAGTTCCACTGAACAAAAATGGATCCTGGGGTATGATAGCTAAATGAGATCTGGAATATAACATAATCAATTTGCTAAGATATTATAACATACAAGATGGATCCTTGTTGGTTTTTAGCAATTTTATTTTAGCAGTATCGTAATGGCCATATTCCAAAGAGAGCTTATGCTTTAAAAGAACCATTGCTGATAGATTGGTCTCATATCAAAGTGGCACTAAAATTAACACGACCTCAGCTATCTGTTTTGATTGCCAGTATGCACATTTACTTTGTCCCTTGAGACACCTTATTAAGTCTATATTTGATTCAAAATCTAACAACAATTGTGAAGAGGAAATATCACTGCCAGATCCTATCATTTTTTTTCAAAATGTGCCTTTGAAGCAGTCATTTATCTGACATTTTCAAAGCTCTTTCTTCCACTGTTAAATGCAAATGTAAAATAAAGTGGAAAAACTTTGCTTGAAGCTTATTTAAATCCACATTGAAATTACAAAGATTGCAAATAATATTGAATTACCTCAAGTCCTGTAGATCTAGATGTGAGATATTAATACCATCAATCACAATTTGTCCACCTTTTAATTCCACAAGACGGAACAATGCAAGAAATAGACTAGATTTTCCCGACCCTGTTCTTCCTACAATTCCTATCTTCTCTGAGGGACTTGTTTCAAAACTGACACCATTTAGTGCATTTGGAAGGCCATCCCGGTATTGCAGTACAACTCGGTTGAACTGGATCGCTCCTTGGATCGGCCAATAAGGTGGCACCTTTGAAAATGATTGTAACAAAAACAGGATATCATTTGTCTGATAATGCGAAAATAAAAATTCTCATTTTTTATAATAATTCCAGAAAATATGGAACATTATTACATTTATATGTAGATTCAAATCATTTGCAAGAAGATGAGGGAAAACTCTCCCAAAATGGAAAAAGCTCAATCGTAAACATAAATGTATGCAACTAAATGAATAATAACAGTAGATCTTAAAATCAAAATCAATATACTCCCATGTCTCTATTAACTTTAAAGCTTACATTACATTCAAAAATGATATTTTGGAGTAAGGACGCAGACTTAATGCATTGGCTAAATTCTTACATGTAGTATTCCATCTCTCTTTTCCTCAGGGACATTTTCAATGTAGTGGGCAGCTCTTTCAATGCTGACCATCTGTTTCTCCGTCTCTGTGAATGACGTCACTACACCACTGAGAAGGTTCACAACAGATAGAGCATATGAAATGGCCAGCCCCACCAAGCCTGGAAAACAAAATTGGACGACACTCATTGTCAAGTTATTCATAGTGTGATCTACTGTACCCCTGGTAACTTTCCAAGTATTTCATATCTGAGTATTTTACTCATTCAGTGAAAGGGTATATATAGTGTGAGTAACAGAAGCACGTGGTCTGTTTTCTCGTTCGTGCTGTGTCGTGACGTCTGTTTCGTGTCCTTTGTGCTGTATACGTGGCTTGCTTTATAGAGGAGTATACTGAGGTATTTATATTGTTTATTTCACATACTGTTGTCAAGTAAAAACAAATAACAGGTAATTATTGTAACATAAACAATTAATAAATTACAGCAAGCTACATTCAAAGTTTCTCTAAAACAACTTGTCAGTAGTTTCACAATTGTATTGTAGACATTTTTATTTCATTGTACACGTGGTAGAGTTATTCCTCAATTTATTTATAGTTTTTGAGACGAATATATTTTGAGGAAAGTGGACTACGTTCTCGAAAGTACCTTTATACTACGTTTGCCCTGTCGGAGTACCTAACCCAGAAGTGACAATAGATTTACTCCAACGCAATCTTCAGAATTCGGACTATATCGGAATATGATATGTGACCATATATCGATATCCAGAGGGAGGTCCGCTGATATTATTAAGTATCTGATGCCAAGACTGTTTTGCTGTCTTAAATTTCAAATATAATGTTTGACTTTCCTAAAGTACTATTGTAAAACATTATCATAATAGTTTACCATTATTGTGTACAAATACATAGCATTATTCTTAAAATACTAATTTATGTTAAATATATCACTTTAACAGTTTATTGAACCTGACAACTTGACACTCATATAAATTTTCTTGTAATTTTTTCACTGTAAACATTTTCATAAGATATTTCTTAAGATTACATAATGACGGCATACACACACTGTCTCTGTAATCTGATAAGTTTAGTTTCTTCCAGCTCAAACGGAACTAAATGGATTGCATTTTACAAAATAGCATGTTAAATCATAAAAGCTCTAAACTTAATTTTGCTGTAGAACACAGTTTTAGAGCCCTAACTTTTCTACATACCTGTAATAAGAGTTTAACAGTAGTGAATAAGGAATGGCTTCAATTCTTACAAACTGCAATATTATAAAATTATAGGCCTGAAAAAGTGACATGAGTCCTTCCTTAAGTCTCTATATGAGTGTCTCGTATGTAACTTAAGTGCATTGATTCTTTGTATATCAGCCAATATATTATTAAAGCATCCCATCACTTACCAGGGTTTACTGTCTGGAAATGATGTTCCAATACGGCAATGAATGCAACTCCTGTCACCATAGCAACCCCCAACATCTGTAAACGAATGTTGAGCCACTGATTCACAGCAACCCCAGCATATTGAGCTCTCTGGTTGTCTGTAAGCTTCACTGCATTGTCCTTCATGAATCTATAATACATCAACTAGACCTTGAACTTTCTTAACATACTGTATCCTTTTTTTAAATATCCTTTGTTATTCTCTTCTAGTTTCAAGTAATTCTCAAACAATTGCAGCTTAATTTATAAGAAATATTTATTGGCTTAAATTAAATGACATCAGTAACACATTAATATTGAAATGATTACTAACCTTTTGCTTTCTCTGAAAGCTCTAATGGAAGTTAGACCCACAATAGACTCGGAAAAATGTGCGTAGATGGGAGATAATGTTACACTTGTTATACGCTTCACCTCGCGTGATGTCTTCCTGTAGTAATGCTGTAATATATAATAATAAACAGACCAGTTATAGTATACAGTTGTAATAAACAAAACAGTTATCTACTGTAATACTCTTGCTGTAGTAGAATATAATGCTGTAATATACAATGAACAAACCAGTTATCTCCTTGAACACTGAATTCTTTTATCAAAATCAAATTACATTACAAGATATAGTGGCTATGACCCCCAAGAGGGAGTATTTATTTCATTCCACAGGACAACTTGAATGTAAATGCTCTTAATTGTCAGTAGTGTCCACATTGATCCAAAATTGTGAGAAACAGCATGTTTGTCATGATTGTAACTGAAATGTGTTAAATGTTCCCTCTAGGACTATTTCTCCACTTCTGGGAGTAAAATTCTAATTTCATCATTTCCGACTGATGAATGTTAATTTTCAAATGGTTTTTCATGATTTTATTGGTGCACATACATATTGTGCATGTTCCTTGTATTTTTGTACAAATGATCATATGTCTGGTTTAATCAAAGGACGTCTTTCTCGAGATAGACTTCTTTGTTTAATCTAATTTTGACCTGACAATAAGTGGTAGATTACCGATTGCCAGTTGTGCATTTCTGTAAGCATTCTTAAACTTATGGATTAATAAGTCTCATTCTCATTCTCCAACTATGCTGTCGCAGTTTCCATGGTTACAACAACTCACAAATATCCATAGGCTGAGAATGCTACAGGAATGCATCCTGGGTCATTAATGTTTACAGACCTGTATAAAATAGTAGAATATGGCAAGAGGAATAAGCAGAAGACTGAACCAGGGCAAGCCATAGCAGGTAATAACAATGGTGCCGATCACGCCATAGAACTGGGCCAGCAAGATGTTCATGATGAATGGCAGGGAGTCATCAATAGAATAAAGGTCAGATGAGAAGCGGTTGATGATACGTCCTATTGGTGTTGTGTCAAAGAATGATACTGGTGCCTGAAAATATACTTCAGTGTCAATTTGGATGCATATTTATTATTTACACTTGTGTATACAAACATTGTATGTCCAAGAATAACTTATGTGCCTGAAATGATTTCATTATGATTATCATATGTCAATTTGGATGCACATATTGTTCGTAGAACATGTTAAAATTCCAACATATTTTTCACAAAAATGTCCTAGTAATTGTTTAATAACTATTCAAAGACATCAGAGTTTCAGCAAAGTCATTAATTACTTTTTTTATTTCAAGAACAGGTGTACATCTTTGTATAATCCTCTAAAAATATATTTCAAAAACAATGTATACTAATCACAAATTATTTATTTGCATAATCCCATGTTTGTATATTTTTTCCAAACTATGGTACTTTGATAATGCATAAGCAGAGGTTCAAAGAACAGTTGAACCAATCATTGATATAAGCTGCTCACCTTCAAAATGGCTGCCAAGAGTTTGTTGTGAATGACATAAGCTGCACAAATACCACCATATGCAAACAGGAATGCCCGGAAAAGTGTGAAAATAGAGTTGGCTGCTGCCAAAAGTCCATAGACAGTAAGATAGTAGGTGACATTGTCACTGGCTTCTACTAAATGGTGGAAGCTGCTGTTAGGGGTAGTGGTGGAATACTGCACTATTGATACACTAGAATATAAATGTAATACATGTATCCATGGGCTTTCAACTAGAAGGGTAGGCAACTTCCCTTATTTCATACATAAGCATTGCCTTGGTTTTCTTATTTTGTACTTTATATTGATGATTAAAGGAAATCTCAAAAATAAAAACATGATTATCTACATACATGTTGATAATTTAATAAAAAATGGAATTCATCATATGTCTAATTGAAAGCCCATGATGTATCTTAAGCTAGATTAGAGGTATGAGCCATAAAAAAATTACACTACTACCCAAATTTAGTTCATTTAAACCAAAGAGCACGAAATTAAAATGTGATGCAGAATTTATAATAATTATGCAATAATTGGATTTATGAAATGATAAACAGTTTGTTGAGGGGAGTAGTACATATGAAAGTATAGAATAAATAAATGAAGTAAGAATGATCCATCCCCTGGACAAAGATCACATGACTGATGTCATGGTCACGAGGTAACTGGGACTTCATTAATCCACTGAACTTCAAAGAAGTATGCCTACTGAAAACAACCCACAACCCACCCTTGAACCAAGAAATATAGGGTAAAGTAGATAACAATTGAACATAATAAGGTAAGCCAAACAATAAAATATCTTTAGGACGTATGTCCATCTTAATTTAATAAGAATCAATAGATAATAAGCCTAATTAAGGTAATTAAGGGATGTTTCTGTGTAAGTTATGAAACATATCCCTTTAATTAGGCTAATTAAATTATCATTTAATTGTACTAATTAGGCTCCCTGACGGCAAACTGTTAGAATCAGAATAAATTAGAATATTTACAAAAACCTGACATTACAGTGTATCGCTTAAACATTTGAAATAAAGATGCAAATACAACTTACATACGTATATTATTAATAAACTAATATTGTTTTTAAATTCACATACCTGTTATCCAGTAGACTAGAAGCATTCACAATTGCACCAGGATGTTTATGGGAATGGGTCACCCAAAATGACAACCACCAATCATTCACATTCCGGGAGGCTGGATAAAATACAGGAAACTCAATGCATAAGACAGAAATTGATTACAAAATCATTCCATTAAAATACAATGTAATTTGGCCCCTTAGCACTATGGATACAGTATACTAAAGTAAAGTCCATAAATCTATACAAAGTTACCATTTTCAAATTTTTCTTATTTCATTAAAAATTGGCAATTAACAAACAAAATATGTTTTCCAAATGAAATTATCAACTGCAAGTTCTTGCAAAAGCCATAGCATCTATGATTGAACAATAATTATAGACTACAGTATATCAAGTAGCCATGACTGTGATATAAGGCTTAGAGTACATGTACCTTGCATGAGGAGTAGAGCTACCAGAACACAAGGAGCAAGACATTTGCCTACAGAGTTCCAATACATCTTATACACCTCCATCTTAACTGCTCCCTCATCTTGCTCTTCTTCCTGGACCAAACCCACGTCCTCTTCCTTCTCATTGGCTGATTCTGATTTCTCTGATTTCTCATTGGTTCTTTTAGTTTCTGGATTCCCATCCTTCAGATCATTAAAGTTAAGGTGGCTCAAAACATCCTGAGGGGATCCTGAAACCATAAAAGTATATGTTTAGTTCACAATCATTTATCCATCTTAAAGAATAATGTACCAAATCTATTGTTAATATTATAATTTAATAATTATGAGTCAATAAAATCATACATCAACTCAAATATGAAAATCATGCCTGATGCTCAGTCCAACTGTTCTACCCATGTCAGGTTTAAAATGTCAAGGAACTATGACAATGTTCATTCATTCGCTACACCTCAATATATGCATCCATCAATATTTTCTAAGAGGTCTGTTAATGCCTCTTTTATTACAATTCAAATCAATGTTTATAAGTTGGCAGATGCATGCATTTCTGTACAATAATGACAGTATGTGTACCATAAAGTATTTGTTAGTGTAACAATTAATGATCAACCCTATTTATTGAGGAAGTAAATCGCAAATTTAATTTTTGAACCAATGACATGCCTGTTTACATTTAACATTGTTATTATTAATACTACAATCAGCCTACACATGTGCAGTTCTATACAACTTAACATTAACAATTCAACAATGGCCATGATACAAACTTTCATGCTTTTGTTCTATATATGTTTATGTACTTCAATACAACTTGTCTCTTTTGAAAGTTTGGACATAAAGGACTCTATTCAAGTTCTGGGGAAGTATGTACAATTTCTAAATTTACTGCAATAAAAAAAAGTTTATGGAGAATAGAATGACAGAATTAAACCATCCCACGTTTATCCTTTTGTCATATTTCATCAACTGATAAAACTCTCATAATCCAAGAAAAATCTCAAATATTCAGAAATTCAAAAATCTCAAATATGAAGAAGTTGATCCCAAAATTCACAACCAAACACAATAAGTCAAGTTATTGCTTTATACGAAATAAGAAATAAAAGTTTTATATACAATACCTTTAAAACAAGACTGATCAAAGCCTAAAAGTCTTTGCATATCTTAATACCTTGAAATGTCCCCTTTATAAGAAAGGGTATAAAATCTCGCAAAAATTGTTACTATATGAGTGAGAAATAAGATAAAGCAACAGCAAGTAGGATGCAGTTACTGGCAGTATTAATTTGTGTTGCTTTAGCCTGGACAAATAAGGTAAAAAATTATTTTAATTTAAAAAAAAATATAAGGGTAATTTTAGTATTTGAATAGTTTGATGTCTGATGTTAGAGGTTAAAACATTAAAAGAAGCTTGATATAAGCTTTTAATTAGTCAATTCATTAATAAAATCATACAAAATCACATAATCTTTTTCTGAATATAAATTAAAACATTAATTTCAAAATTTTGTGGTAAATAGATATATCATTGAATTATATTAACAAAGTTATTTCACATATAGAATAGTATATCTTTGAGGATTAAATTGATGAATAATTTTTTAGACATACAACTGAAGGAGGCTACGGTATTTAAGTCTGTAACATGAAAGTGGAATTGTTTTCAAGACTATGTGTGCATTCATTATATACCAAATATCGGACCCATCAGCTGAAATAATGATTACCCAAATAGCATTGCCCACTGCTGAGAGGTGCGATAGCCACCAGCTACCGAGTGGGGGTCAACTTGTTACTCAACTATCGATGTTATCTGTTTACCTAATCTTTCAAATGAGGGTTATCATTCATAATATCAATAGGCTATCCTGGACCCTGTTGCTTTAATAGCTTTATTGCATGATAACTATCTCAAACTAACACCAAATGACAACATGTTCACTAGAAACTTCATAAAACAGATAATATAATATTACTTCACCGCTAGTTGCAATATTTTCTAGCGAATACACACTATATACCCAAAATATTGTTTATGTGGGTCAGATTATGAAGGGCCCAGTGTTAAATTTTGAACTGATAATAAATGCAACAGCTTTTTATAACTCAGGTGTATGGTGACTTGGACTTCACTTTACTTGCTGGACTAGATGGCGAACAAGACCCTCAAAGTCAACAAGAGAATGAACGCATCTTACAAAGCTTTAATGAAACTGGACTAGAAGATGACGATTCTTTCTGGAAAAATAACCCAAACCTGGAGGTCAAGGCTTGCAGTGCTCCTGTGGGTATCAGGGAAGGTAATTCATTTTTTATTTATGCATTTATCTAACCACCCATAAGAGTAAATAGAGTTTATACATATGTCCAAAAAATGTAATGTAAAGTCATAAAAAGAATTCCCCAGCAATTGACCAGAAAATGGAAAGATAGTAATGAAAACACTGTGAGTAATGAAAACACTGTGAGAAGGTAGACACAATATTACTGATTTGAATTTTGAACTAAGACCTAATTTTTGCACTGACTACAAAAGAAAATGCTAGGAAGGGGGTGTGATAAATGTTATATGGCATCTTACATATGAGACATTCACTTAATCACAGAACTACATTTTCACTTTTACTATTTAGGAGTATCAGGCAGACAGAAGAAAGCATTAGCTGCCCCTAAGCCTTTAGTGTGTCTGGCCAACTATGGAAGATGGTGTGGTGCAAAAAATACAAAAATTGGATCGAACGGTTGTTCTTGTAAAACAGGGATAAATACATGCAGGTGAAGAGAGTCGCATTTGAATATTTCAATACTTGACTAGTATACATTTTGGGTTTCTAGCTATGAAATTAAATCTGATAACAACTTCAGTGTCTATAATTGAAGAGGGTATCTTATCTATTGATTCTAAATAAATGAGGTTATCAAAATGTATTTAGAAGCGTCATACAGATACTTTGAGGCACATCTTTTGAACAAATTCCTATGTGAAATAAGATAATCGCAATAGGCACATGTAAATGTACATGTATTTGAAATTTCAGCAAGTTATATCCACCAATTGATGCTTTGGACAAGGCATGTATGTATCACGATTTCTGTGTCCAGTGTGCTGCCATCTATCCAACTACTACGCTCCATTGGTGCCACTGTGAACGGAATTTGTACTATCAAGCCCAGGCTGCTACATGCAAATTCTTTGATTGGAAATGTAAATCATATCGGGCTGCAGTTATGGCTCTGTTCAAGGTAATTTCATTTGATTATATCTTACAATCTGATGTTTTATAATATGGTCATCGGTGTCATGGAAATATTAATTTCAAAGCCATTTACAGTTTGAAAATATCTTTTTAATTACTTGTATTTTTAGAACATCCCTTGCAAATGTAACAAGAAGATTCTTCCATGTGGAATAAAGTACTGCACCAAGAAGATCAAGTTCCCCTGCGGTGTGACAATATGCTACAAGACCATCAAGTTCCCTTGTATTAAATGGTGTTGGAAGTACATATGGGGCAAATGGATCAAATTCCCTTGTGGTGTTACGACATGCACCAAAACCATCAAATGGCTCTGTACTAAATATTGTTACAAAACCATTAAGTTTCCATGTGGGATCAAGCTCTGCTATAAGATGATCACGGTGCCTAACTTCTCATTTTGCTAATATGCTGGAAATGTCACTCATGTATAATGAAATAATAAAAATTAAATACACCATCTGAATAACCTTTTTTCCTTTATTATTAGTCTTAAGCCCTGTATACACTGCAAATAGCGTTTCAATCGTTTCAATTGTTTCAATCGTTTCAATCAATTCAATGGTTTCAATGCTTGCATCATTTCCTACGTTTCAATGCTTACGTCATTTTGAACATTTCAATCTTTTCAATCGATTCGCCTTTGAAATCAATTTGAAGTTTCGCTGTTTGCGCCTGTTTCGCCGTTTCAAGCATTTCAATCATACGACCAATTCATAAAGAAACGGGCGAAATGATTGAAAAGAAAAACGAACATGCACGTTTTTCGTTTCAAGCATTTCGCCGGGGCTTTTCAACCGTTTCAAGCATTTCAATCAATACGTCTCGAAAAATAAAATTACTGTTTCGCTGCTTTCACCTGTTTCGCCGTTTCAAGCATTTCAATCAATTCGCCTAAGCTGTTTTCACATTCTCTTTCATTTCAACCATTTCAAGCATTTCGGCCTTTTCGCCCCCCATTTCAAGCAATTCGCTTGCCAGTGTATACACCCCTTTACTAACAATGTTCATAGGTCTTACATTTGAGTTACTTGCTCCAGCACTTAAATTGGGATAAATAAAACTGAACAAATTAACAAATTAATTAAGCACACTTCAATGGAATAAACACACACAATTTCAAGAAACCCTATTTGGCACAATATCAAAAACACCATTGTGATATCCTTTTTGTGTTGTGATTTAGTTCCAATAGCACCTCAAGTTTGTTTCATGTTGTGATGGAAAATAGCTTTGGTACCTCAAAAATGTGTCCTCTTGGGAGGTTTATATTATGTTAATGAGTCATGGGACTTTGAAAAATGTTCCACTTATGGTGGTGTTCCACTTGGAGACGTGTCCCATAAGTTTTACTGTCAATTGCAATGTCAAGAATATACCAACAATAACAGTGCTATGGAATAATCTTATACATTTGTACACATATCTCCTTCTTTGTTTCGACATGAAAATTTGCGCCATGAGCATTGCGAAGTAAGCAAATGAAAATATTCAAAAAGCTTAATGAAACGTTACCAAATGCCAGGCAACAGTATACCCAAATGATACCATATTGGCAACACAAAACAGCATAAAATGTACAGGAATAACTATTCATCAAAACCTGAATTATTAGACTGTGATAAATAGAAGCTCTACATCTTAGGTGCTATATAGTGAAAAGGAAGAAAATCAAGCAATAAAATTAAAAACATTGAGTACCTTCTTCTACTATGGCACCATCTTTCATCACTAAGACAACATCAGCATGTTTCAAGTATTTAATATGATGTGTGCACAGGATGCGCGTGCGGTCTTTAAGAGCTCCCATAATGCACTGGTGGAAGAGATGTGCGGCAACATGGGCATCAACAGCTGAGAGTGGATCATCTAAGAGATATACATCTTTATCCTAGAATCATATTATAAACAAGGCTTTAACATGCAAAGTGTCACCACCTGCCATTTGTTACAGACATCAACTGCTGATTACCAACCGCCAACTGTCAAACTGTCAAAGTTTGAGACTATAACAATATGTTACCACTTCTAGTGTAAAGTACTACTAACTAGGCACACTAAGTTTTTTACTAATTAACTAGTTTAGTATAATTTATTGTTCCATTTAATAAACAATCATACAATATAGCAGAAAACAACTGGATGCATTGCATTTTTCATTTTACTATGATGATGAATCTGCTTTATTTCAACTTGTTTTGGTGAATCTGGTAACAACCTACTTACAAGTAATCATTTTATACAGGACCTATTTCAAGTGTTTCTTTAACCTTTAAAAGAAGGGGGAAATAATCCCTACGGTGCAATAATTTTACACAATCACATTCCTCAAAACAGTGCTATGCTAACTTAACTTCCCTATCATACAATGTCTATGCCTACCTGATAAACTGCCCTAGCTAATGAGATTCTGGCTTTCTGGCCTCCACTCAAGGTGACTCCATTCTCCCCCACCTCTGTATTGTCACCTCCAGGAAGAATCTAGTCGCAGAGAGAGAGAAATAATAAACATCACATAATTATGCTTACAATATTGTGTAATGTACAGGCTGTTTAGTGGAATGCATTTGGTACCGTTATAGTGCTAATGGTTATGATGACTATTTCAATCAGAAATGCATGGAGTACATGCATAATAATACCAGAAATACATTTAGTACATTTGAAAAATACCAGAAATACATGTAGTACATTTGAATAATACCAGAAATACATCTGGTACATTTGAATAATACCAGGAATACATGTAATAAATTTGAATAATACCCAAAATACATCTGGTACATTTGAATAATACCAGAAATACATGTAGTACATTTGAATAATACCCAAAGTACATCTGGTACATTTGAATAATACCAGAAATACATGTAGTACCTTTGAATAATACCCGAATTACATCTGGTACATTTGAATAATACCCGAAATACATCGGGTACATTTGAATAATACCAGAAATACATGTAGTACATTTGAATAATACTATACCTTTAAGTCATCCTCCAATGCACAAACCTCCAGTACTTTATCATATTTTTCAACATCAAACAGTTTACCAAACAGGATGTTCTCCTTCACTGTTGCATGCTGGATCCATGCCTCTTGTGCTACATAACCAAAACCTAAAATATGACACATTTAAAACAAGGCATTAACATGACAAAATGTCACCACCTATTTGCAGTACTATGAGTTCAATCTTAAGTAAGATTTGAATTTCTGAGAACTTGTAGATGATTTGAAAAAAAAAATTAAGTCAATTTGAAGCAAGTTGAAAAAGACATTTTTGACCTTGAAAAGGTCATTGAAGGTCAAATGTCAAATCTAAAGTCAGATTTGAACTTCTGAGAACATGTAGATGATTTTGAAAAAAAAATTAGTCAATTTGATTAGTCAATTTGAAGCAAGTTGAAAAAGACCTTTTTGACCTTGAGAAGGTCATTGAAGGTCAAAGGTCAAATCTAAAGTCAGATTTGAACTTCTGAGAACTTGTAAAGTCGAATTTGAACATCTGAAAAGATGTAGATGATTTTGAAAAAAAAATTTGGTCAATTTGAAGCAAGTTGAAAACAGACCTTTTTGACCTTTTTTGACCTTGAGAAGGTCATTGAAGGTCAAATGTCAAATCTAAAGTCAGATTTAAATTTCTGAGAACATGTAGATGATTTTGAAAAAAAAATTTAGTCAATTTGAAGCAAGTTGAAAAAAGACCTTTTTGACCTTTTTTGACTTTGAGAAGGTCATTGAAGGTCAAATGTGAAATCTTAAGTCAAATCTGAGAACACGTAGATGATTTTGAAACAATTTTTTAGTCAATTTGAAGCAAGTTGAAAACAGACCTTTTTGACCTTTTTTTGACCTTGAGAAGGTCATTGAAGGTCAAATGTCAAATCTTAAGTCAAATCTTAAGTCAGATTTGAATTTCTGAGAACAAGTAGATGATTTTTAAAAAAAAATTTAGTCAATTTGAAGCAAGTTGAAAACAGATCTTTTTGACCTTTTTTTACCTTGAGAAGGTCATTGAAGGTCAAATGTCAAATCTAAAGTCAGATTTGAAGGTCAAATGTCAAATCTAAAGTCAGATTTGAATTTCTGAGAACATGTAGATGATTTGAAAAAAAATTTAGTCAATGTGAAGCAAGTTGAAAAAAGACCTTTTTGACCTTGACAAGGTCATTGAAGGTCAAATGTCAAATCTAAAGTCAGATTTGAACTTCTGAGAACATGTAGATGATTTAGAAAAAAATTGAAGTCAGTCTAAACAGTATTTGTTAAGTTATAGGAAGTTGTAAGAAATTGTTACAGACGCCGGACGCCGGACGCCAACCTCCAACCACCAACCGCCGTCGCAAAAAAACGGAGACCATAACAATATGTTACCACTTTTGGTGGTGACATAACAAAAAAACGGAGACCATAACAATATGTTACCACTTTTGGTGGTGACATAAAAAATTAACTATTCTGGTCTCATACCTAATAAAAGAAAACAACTTGGTGATGGCAGTCTCAACTGGTGCGATACTAAACAAGATTTTTCTCGTCTTTAATCCATTGGCAAATACCTTTTCAGATTGCATTGATGCAACAAGTGATCACATATAGATATAGATACACACAAAGTTTTCTGTATAAAGGTCCAAGGATCATATAAAGCCTTTGACAGAATATGATGTATCTAGCATAGTAGTAGAGATTCAAACATACCCTCATTTAGGTTTTCAACGGAGATTGTACCCCCTTCTCTGGTCATCTCAGCTAGTACAGCATTCAACAGGGAACTCTTTCCTGATCCAACCTTCCCTATCACACCCACCAGTGTGCCCTAAACATAACGTAAAAACAGCCTCCTACATTTTCATATGAAACTCTTATGTGATCCCAACAAGGCAAACATCACTCTACTACTACCTAACCCCTAGAAATGCATAAGATACTTTGTCTAATTGTATTGTTTAGTATATTTTTAAAAGTGCCTTTAGTAACATCTAACATTCAATCGATAAACCATTAATTAGGAACAGACAAATAAAAACAAAGACATAATCATTACTAATAAGCCAAATGGGTTGCTCATGAACACCAAATGCAAGGTATAGTAGAGTGAACATGAAAAAAGTCATCATGTTATCATTGGGAAAGTTTACACACTCCTGTAATAGGTTACACTCCTATTACAGATTACAAACTGTAACAATTAATTTTGAACATATTTTATCCAAATGTGGCATCTTGATACAATTTACTAACCTTTTTGATATTGACACTAATTCTGTTCAATTTCAATGTGCCACTGCTTGTGAGCATGACCTCTCTTTCTGCAGGTGCCTCAATTGATTCCTCTCCATCAGGAATAGCCCTCATTGGTCTACCATCTTGTCTCTGCCAGGAGAATGTCCCATTGTGGATCGTTATGACATCATCAGGCTTGTGTTGGGCTAGAGCATTGAGATTTAAAGTTTAAAGTTAATTTTAATACTATGTCTCCTACCATTCATCCTTTTATTTCCATTTTCAAGAGTTTCATTTCCAATAATAGGTCCGCCCCTTTAAGAAGAGTTATAAACTACTAATTAAAATACTTCAAGCTCCTACCCTTGCGAAAACCTTCGGGGTTTGCCGGCGACCGGAAGTTGGCAATTTGCTATGGGCGAAAAAATTCTCTAAGGGAATGTACCATAGGCTGGGGAAATTCAGACTTATGTCTTTTACTGCAGTAGATCCAAACTATTCTAATTGATTATTTATTGCCTAAATTCATTTTGAATATATATGAAGCTGTCAGGGGCAGTCAACTATTGAGTAACACTCACAAAATCGGTCTCATTTGACATACTCAATTACTCATCCAAAATATATATGATTGAGAAAAGGGAGACCATAGATGCAATTAGCCAAAGAAATAGTCTTGACTGCTAAGTTAGGTATTTACAGTACCTCTCTGATTATAGTACTTGTTAAGGTCTAGTTGGTCAAGCTGTAAGAATTTCTGGACTCTCTTAATAGACACCAATGACTCCATTAGACCATTCAGCACCCAGGGGAAGGCAATCAGTGGACCAATCAACATGTTGAACAGTGCTAAACTGGTGAACACCTGGTAAAAAAAGAAATCAATTATTGTAAACATAAAACAAGGCATGCCATTAACATGCAAAATGTAACCACCAGCCATTTCTTGCAGATGCCGAACAACAACTGCCAAACTCCAACCACTGAAAAATGTCCACAAAAATATTGGAGACATTAACAAAACATGCCACCACTTCTGGGAGTGATACAAAATTGCCTATTGCCTGATGCTAATGAAGCATGTGAGTATGCTTTGAGTAATTGAGTTTCTTTAATGAAAATTCATCAATGAAATACGGCTTTAACATAGCCTACCATTTGAACTATGTCACTACTGCTACCTTTACATCAGCCTTAAATCTACATGTATTTTAAATGTTTACTTCCACTTACCTTTGCTGCGGTAAGTTGGTGCCCCAATAGGGCATAGGTTGTAAATGTAAGTATAGATATCAACACTGGTGTTGTAGCCCAGAAATAGACACACAGCGCATCTAAGTATTTCCTGCCTTTGAGACTCTTCAGCTCTGCTGCTCGCAAATTGTCAATCTTCTGAGTGAAATGTTGCTCCCAGGCATAGAATTTGATAACTCTAATGCCATAAAGGATTTCATTCATAACCTGGAGAAAAGAATATACAATGTACATGTATTCTATGCTGTTTCTTCATATGGGCTATAGTGAAATCTATCAACCATGCCTTTCATTTAGAGTGAATAGTGATTTAAGCATTTAACAACACTGGGAACTGCCTACACTTGAATTTTTTTAATTCAATTTTTTAATCGGACCACATGCCATATAGTATAGTAGGAACAAGGGGTTCCCATGCACCCATAAGGTGTGAATAAGTTACATACATTTTTGTAATCCCTAGGGTGTCTATTTAATGAATTCATTTGTTAACATTGCCAACTAATGTCCCATAGTACTTTTATGGCGGCATTCAGTTACCATGGTTACGCATCTTTAGAATCTTACCTTGGTATCTTAAATCATTTGTAGCTCTGTCATTATTTAGTCTATAGAAATGATATTGGTACCAAATTGAACCTCGTTGAATTTCCAATAAATTTCTGATATTCAATTATGCAAATTATCTAATTTGCATAAATTATGACGTCATCAATCTATTTTTGGTTCAGAATTTCCAACTATAGCAACGAATCTATTAGAACTGAGGCCGTATGGCAAAATTTCTGAAAGGTTTTGTCCTTTATTCTATTAGTAGAAGGTATAAGCAACACAAGAACACAAATGTGTACAAAATGTCCCCACCAAGTGGTGATCCCGTGAAATGGTTATCCTGAAAATGAGTAGACAAGACTTTACCAACACAATTTGAGGACGGAAAATCCAAAGTGGCCACCTTAAAATTTACCCAGAATGCCAAAAATTTAGTCAGTTCTAGATTTTCATACTAAGAACCACCCCTGAAAATTTGAAATTGATCCGTCACACAGTTAACCAGAAAACATGTAAACAAGACTTTACAGACAAGATTTCAGGATGGAAAATCCAAAATGGCTGCCTTGACATTTACCCAGAATGTCAAAAAACTAATCTGTTTGTAGATTTTCATACTAAGAATCATCCCTGAAAATATGAAATTGATCTACCAAACGGTTCACCTGAAAACGGGTAGACAAGACTTTACAGACAAGATTTTAGGACAGAAAATCCAAAATGGCTGCCTTAACATTTACGCAGAATGCAAAAAAAGTAATCAGATGTAGATTTTCATACAAAGAATCATCCCTGAAAATTTGAAATTGATCTATCAAACCGTTCTCCTAAAAACGCGTAGACAAGACTTTACAGGCAAGATTTTAAGACGGAAAATCCAAAATGGCTGCCTTGACATTTACCCAGAATGCAAAAAAACTAATCAGTTCTAGATTTTCATACTAAGAATCATTCCTGAAAATTTGAAATTGATCTACGAAACGGTTCACCTGAAAACGAGTAGACAAGACTTTACAGACAAGATTTTAGGACGGAAAATCCAAAATGGCTGCCTTGACATTTACCCAGAATGCCAAAAAACTAATGAGATCTAGATTTTTATACTAAGAATCATCCCTGAAAATTTGAAATTGATCCACCAAACGGTTCACCTGAAAACGCGCAGACAAGACTTCACAGACAAGATTTTAGGACCGAAAAATCCAAAATGGCCGACAATAAAAAAGTCCTTATGAGTTTTTGCTGATTTCTTTTTACAAAATTATCACATATAACTACTGTTAACAATAACATAGGCTTTTACAGCAAAGTACATCTGAAATTATTTATAAAGCTACTAAATAGTTAAAGTATGAAAACTCAAAAACACCATTCAATATGATACAAAGTATTATCGCGCGCTAACTTTTCTTAAGACATTCAAAATGGCTGACATGACTGAGCTAGCAGGTCCAAAACCTAATCAGATCTAGAATGAAGTGAGTTGAACAAGATGTTAAAGTTTTAAAAGCAACTGTGAAGCAGTTTTTCTTAAAGTTTGCAGACAAGGATTTTAGCATTTGACTTCAAAATGGCCGACAGGAAGTAGGTATCGAGTTAATTTTTTTTCATCCACATCTGTATGCACTCATAAGTTATCCCTGAAAATTTGAAGGTGATATCTGTAGCGGTTTTGGAGAAAACTGCCGGACGTACGGACAGACAGACGGACAGACGGACAGACGGACAGACAGACGGACGCGCCTAGGCCGACAATATGGCCCCACACTATGTGGTGGGGACATAATAAAAGTGAAAACAGATTCAAAATTGAATCAGTATTACGAAAGGTATGTAACTTTCGAGGCAGCTATTGTGAATGTCATTATTTGACAATAATATACATTACATCTTACCTTGGAGTCTTGAATCAATGTAGCTTCGCCATTATTTGGTCTATAGAGATGATATTGGTATCTGATTAAACCTTACTAAATTTACTATATGGTTACAATATTAAGTTATGCAAATTAGCTAATTTGCATTAATTGTGACGTCATCAATCCATTTTTGGTTCAGAATATCCTAGTATAGCAACATATCTATGAGAACTGAGGCCGTATGACAGAATGTGTGCATAGTTTTGTCCCTTATTTGATGAGTGGAAGATATAAGCAACATTAAAGAGACAACAAATCTTCAAAATTGGATCAGAATTAACAAAATTATCCAGCTTTGGAGGCAGCTACTGTGAACGTCATTGTTTGACAATTATAAAAAGAATATTAAATTAACAAAAAAAGTAACAACCATAGTTGTTTCAATCTTATTGAGTAAAAATGTGCATGTATTGAACTGAACTAATAAGTATGTGGAAAGGTTACATGCATTTTGACTATCATTCACAGGGGTCAAAACGGTTATCTCGATCCTGTATATTAAAGATCCAATCTTATAATTTACCATGCACATTCAATGATTCATATAAATAGTATACATATAGTCTGATTTTCATCATATTCTTCATATTCTTGATTCTTAAAGCATCTGAAGTATATAGCAGGATTAGAAGTGAAGATGATTCATCATATGGTTTATGTTATATTTCTAACATTTCAGATGCTATGGTAACATCACTTGATAATGAGGTTTTTACATTTCACGTTCTTAATGAGTTAAAAGTAAGTTATTCTCCCTTTGCTTTAGAGATAAATAGTCGCATGAATTTGTTTAGAAAAATTATAACTTAATTAATTTAACCCCCCCCCCCTCCTGACAGCCCCCATATTTGAAGATTTTGGTGAAACCTGGCAAAATACATTAATTATTAGGTTCCAGAAGCTTTATGATGGCCCCCAGTAGCCCCAAGAATCTATACAGGGGCCCCAAGTGGCCCCCAGAAGCTATACTGTGCTCCCCAGAAGCTATATGTTAGCCCCCAGAAGCTGAATAGTGGCCCCCAGGAGCTATACGGTGGCTCCCAGAATCTATACAGGAAACCCTGTTGCCCCCAGGAGCTATACGGTGGCGCTCAGAAGCTATACAGGGGCCCCCAGTGGCCCCAAAAAGCTATACGGTGGCCCCCACAAGCTATACAGGGGCCCCCAGAAGCTATACTATGGCCCCCAGAAGCTATACAAGGGCCCCCAAAAACTATACTATGGTCTCCAGAAGCTATATGGTGGCCCCCAGTGGCCCTCGGAAGCTATATGATGGCCTCCAGAAGCTAATTAGTGGCCCCCAGGAGCTATACGGTGGCTCCCAGAAGCTATACAGGAAACCCTGTTGCCCCCAGGAGCTATACGGTGGTGCCCAGAAGCTATACAGGGGCCCCCAGTGGCCCCAAAAAGCTATACGATGGCCCCCACAAGCTATACGGGGGCCCCCAGAAGCTATACTATGGCCCCCAGAAGCTATACAAGGGCCCCCAGAAGCTATACAAGGGCCCCCAGAAACTATACTATGGTCTCCAGAAGCTATATGGTGGCCCCCAGTGGCCCTCGGAAGCTATATGATGGCCTCCAGAAGCTAATTAGTGGCCCCCAGGAGCTATACGGTGGCTCCCAGAAGCTATACAGGGGACCCCAGTGGCCCCAAGAACCTAAACGATGGCCCCCAGAAGCTATACAGGAGCCCCAAAAAGCTACATGATGGCCCCCAGAATCTATATCTAGGCTCCCAATGGCTCCCAGAAGATGTGAAGGGCCCCCAGTAGCCCCTAGAAGCTATACGGTGGCCCCCAGTGGCCCTCATAGGCTATATGATGGGCCCCAGAAGCTAAATAGTGACCCTCAGGAGCTATATGGTGGTTCCCAGAAGCTACAAAATGGCCCCTAGAATCTATATGGTGGCCCCCAATTGCTCCCAGAAGCTATAAAGGGCCCCCAAATAGCCCCTAGAAGCTATACGGTGGCCCCCAGTGGCCCTGAAAGCTATATAGTGGCCCCCAGAAGCTATACAGGGGCCCAGAGTGGCTCCCAGAAGCTATATGATGGCCCCCAGAAGCTATGCAAGGGCCTGCAGAAACTTTACTGTATCCCCCAGAAGCTATACAGGGGCCCCCAGTGGCTCCCAGAAGCTATACGATGGCCCCCAGAAGCTATGCAAGGGCCCGCAGAAACTATACGGTAGCCCCCATAAGCTATACGATGGCCTCCAGAAGCTATACAGTGTCCCCCAATGGGCCACCATATAGCTTTGGGGGCCACCATATAGCTTCTAGGGGCTACTGGGGGCCCTGTATAGCTTCTGGGAGCCATTGGGGGCCATCATATAGAATCTTGGGGCCATCATGTAGCTTCTGGGGGCTGCTGTATAGCTTCTGGGAGCCATGGTATAGCTTCTTGGGGCCACTGGGGTTCCCTGTATAGCTTCTGGGTGCCACCGTATAGCTCCTTGGGGCCACTAATTAGCTTCTGGGGGCCATCATATAGCTTCTGAGGGCCACTGGGGGCCACCATATAGCTTCTGGAGACCACAGTATAGTTTTTTGGGGGCCTTGTATAGCTTCTGGGGGCCATCGTATACCTTCTGGGGGCCACTTGGGGCCCCTGTATAGATTCTTGGGGCCACTTGGGGCCATCATATAGCTTCTGGGGGCTTCTGGAACATAATAATTAATGTATTTTGCCAGGTTTCACCAAAATCTTCAAATATGGGGGCTGTCAGGAGGGGGTTAAATTAAGTTATAATTTTTTTAAACAAATTCATGTGACTATTTTTCTCTAAAGCAAAGGGAGAATAACTTTCTTTTAACTCATTAAGAACGTGAAATGTAAAAACCTCATTATCAAGTGATGTTACCATAGCATCTGAAATGTTAGAAATATAACATAAACCATATGATGAATCATCTTCACTTCTAATCATGCTATATACTTCAGATGCTTTAAGAATCAAGAATATGAAGAATATGATGAAAATCAGACTATATGTATACTATTTATATGAATCATTGAAAGTGCATGGTAAATTATAAAATTGGATCTTTAATATACAGGGTCAAGATAACCGTTTTGACCCCTGTGAATGATAGTCAAAATACATGTAACCTTTCCACATACTTATTAGTTCAGTTCAATACATGCACATTTTTACTCAATAAGATTGAAACAACTATGGTTGTTACTTTTTTTGTTAATTTAATATTCTTTTTATAATTGTCAAACAATGACGTTCACAGTTACTTCCTGCGAAAGCTATTTGGATTTTGATATAATAGCTTTCCCACGGAGCATTTGGACAGCTCAATGATTGTGACCTTTGAAATCGAATTAAGTCGATCAGCGGCTTACTTTTGGTCTCTAACTGTGTCTTACCAGTATCATCAATCCGTGTAAGTGTTGGAGCGCTGGAGTACTTCTTTTTTATCAAGACTTGTAATTGTTAGTCGAGTGAATCGTTTTACTGCCAAATTCCAATATGGCGGTTTCTGCTCGGACATTTTCGTAAATCTCCGGAGGTTGTCCGAACCTAACTAATTTTCAAAATTCATTTCGTTCGTTGCGTATCTCGCACCTAGCAAACCACCATATTTGAAATAGGTCTAAAAAACTTTCACTCAATGAACAATTTACAAGTCTTGATCGAAAAAGAAGTACTCCAGCGCTCCAATAACACGGATTGATGATACTGATGTAAGACACAGTTAGAGACCAAAAGTAAGCCACTGATCGACTTAATTCGATTTCAAAGGTCACTATTGATCAGCTGTTCACTTCTCCGTTTGAGAGCCATAAGTTTCAAAATCTAACATGGTTCTCGAAGTGAGTAAGTTCACAGTAGCTGCCTCCAAAGCTGGATAATTTTGTTAATTCTGATCCAATTTTGAAGATTTGTTGTCTCTTTAATGTTGCTTATATCTTCCACTCATCAAATAAGGGACAAACTATGCACACATTCTGTCATAAGGCCTCAGTTCTAATAGATATGTTGCTATACTAGGATATTCTGAACCAAAAATGGATTGATGACGTCACAATTAATGCAAATTAGCTAATTTGCATAACTGAATATTGTAACCATATAGTAAATTTAATAAGGTTTAATCAGATACCAATATCATCTCTATAGACCAAATAATGGCGAAGCTACATTGATTCAAGACTCCAAGGTAAGACGTCATGTATATTATTGTGAAATAATGACATTCACGATAGCTGCCTCGAAAGTTACATAACTTTCGTAATACTGATTCAATTTTGAATCTTTTTTCTATTTTATGTTGCTTATACCTTCTACTAATAGAAAAAAGGACAAAACCTTTCAGAAATTTTGCCATACGGCCTCAATTCTAATAGATACGTTGCTATAGTTGGAAATTCTGAACCAAAAATAGATTGATGACGTCATAATTTATGCAAATTAGATAATTTGCATAATTGAATATCAAAAATTTGTTGGAAATTTAACGAGGTTCAATTTGGTACCAATATCATTTCTATAGACTAAATAATGACAGAGCTACAAATGATTTAAGATACCAAGGTAAGAGTCTAAAGATGCGTAACCATGGTAACTGAATGCCGCCATAAAAGTACTATGGGACATTAGTTGGCAATGTTAACAAATGAATTCATTAAATAGACACCCTAGGGATTACAAAAATGTATGTAACTTATTCACACCTTATGGGTGCATGGGAACCCCTTGTTCCTACTATACTAATAGTTTTTGTAGACAGCATTAAATAAATAAAAAAAAAAAATTTGAATATTATAGGATTTAATAACAAGTTTTTTAGATAGCACCGTATGCTTGCGTCAATTAGGTTAAATCATTGGTTTTCTTGACACTGAATATTTTATAGACAATACAGTATGGCTTGTCTCAACATCCTAATACCAGCTAAAAATAGAATGCACAGAGCATTGATCAAATTATCTCTTTTGCTATTTTGGTATTTTCCCATGAAAGCAAATGGGATAACAACATTAAACTGAATGGCAAAATACTGAAAGATTAATATCAAAAGCCATTGTACTGAAAGAAAATACTGTATTGTATTCCAAAAAGGCATTGTCCTGAAAGCAGGGTCTGCAACATTTTTGAAATTACCTGACTTTTCCCAGATTTCTTATTTGAGAAAAATTCTGAAATTCTTTTACTTTTCCAGGTTAAGAAAAATCATTTAATTTTTATTGACATCGACAACCCTCCAACAGTGAAAGGCAAACACCACATCTAATCCTAAAACCCTTTATGCTAAAGCACTTGTACATGGCAAGCACTTAGTTACAATAAAAAATCTCATGTAAATAAATGAAACTTGTATCAAAAGGCAACAGTAATTAATAAAGGATGAAGTACATGTAATACGAAAGTCACATAATGATATCCTTGATATCTCAAGATGTCAACTTAACTCGAAATTATTGTTTTCAGTTAACGCTAGAAAAAGCAATCGATGAGTCATCTGAGATCCTAATTCCTATTGCAGTCAGAACAGTGACTCAGCTTTGTTTTAATTCAACTTTATGCTTCTGTAATTGCTTTAGAATTTGTGCAATATCTGTCTCTTCTACAAGAAAGTTATTCATTTATTGATTTACAACGTTTCATTTAAAAAACTCTAGCTGCTAACACATTTATCAGTTTTAATTCAGGTTTTAAAGAGGCTTTGATTTCACATAAGTAAAAAATAAATTGTGAGGTCGTCTCAATATTTTTACATAAAACAGTGTGATCCCATAGCAATTATCAGATCCCATTCGGGGTATATAATTCAGGCCCGTAGCCAGGGGGGGGTTGCAGGGTTCAGGTGACCCCTCCCCCCCTGGCCAAAAATGCTTTCAAAATCATGCAGTTTTTTACCATTTTGTGCACTTCTCAAGTGATTTTAGCCATATTTGGGCCAAAATTGTCAAATGTGAACCCCCCCTGGAAATTCTTGAAAACTGAACCCCCCTCCCTTGGCCAATCCTGACTACGGGCCTGTAATTAACATGTAATTAAGAAGAGGTGTAAAAACAGATAATGGTACTTTAAATCACAAAAACTGACAAATTATCTGCAAAGGAAATCTACATACCTTTACCCTGGAATCTTTTTGAGTCATCATCTCATTACTCAACTCTCCAATTTTATTAGCTAGCCATCGATTAATGGGGATCAACAGCAAAGCGAACCCAAGCCCTGCTAGAAACGCTAGGCCCACCTGCTGGTACAACAAAAACAACGAGACTGCAATCTGGAACGGCAAACTCCAGAACTGATGGAAGCTAGCGCAGAAATTGATGATGCGATCAGTATCCGTACTCATAAAATTGACGACCTCTCCAGTTGAGAATTTCGACAGAGACACAGAGTTGGCTCCTAATGTCCTCTGATATATTGTTGTGATTATGGCTGCCCGTATTTTTAGACCAACTAGTGTTACATGGTATGTAAATTGAGATGACAATATTGCCGATAAAAATGTTGAGAGAAATAGACCTGAGGCATAGAGATATCCATGTTCAATAGGCTCTGATTTATTTTCCATGTATGAAATTAGAAGGTTCAAAAGTAAGGGCCCGGCAAATCCAAGGCCATCTGCCAATAATTTTAGTACCCCTAGCAGGTAGTATTCACAACCAAATGTTTTATGCAATGCCTTCAGGAATGATCTGCGTTTTTTGCCATCACTGAATGTTATATCAGGGTTTGCAGAATTAGAAGTATCAGAATCCATTTGCTCCTCATTTTGAATCTTTTCTAGCTTAGATGAAAATTTCATATCAATTGATCTTGTGTTTAATTTATTTGGTAAAATGAAAAGATCATCGGGCGATGAAAGTTTCTCCCTTGAACCTTTCATAACTAGAGGTTGTACCCACCAAAATGAGAGTTTTGACAGAAAATTAGATCCATCTTCACCATTTCCCAAATGTGGTGAAGGGCGAGTAACTCCTCCATAGAAATTTTGTTGTACGCTTGATGACAATAGAGGATCACCTACATCTGCATTAATCCCGACTGTATCTATGTCATAGCTATTAAGTACACTGTTTCTTTTACCAGGTACAAGGGTTAGTAGGTAAATAAGGTGAAGTCCTCCTGTAATGTAAGTAGTGTATTCTTTCACTTTTGTTAAATGGGGATTCTCATCCAAGGCCTGTAGAATGACTGTCCTTAACTTTATTCCTATAGCTGCCGCCGTGAAAAGATATGCTACTATAAGAGATAAAGGACCACGTAGCGATAAATGATAAAGTTTTCTCAACCTTCTTACAAATCCAAAATGTAGGATCCACGATAATGCACACACTATACAGGTTACTATATCAACCATGCTCATACGCTGCTTCAGCCAGAGAGAGGTTAGTAGAGATTCAATAACTGGCGCAAGAAACAACAGTCCTGATACAGTAAACCGCATCTCTAATATAAAAGACATTGGTGGATTATGCAATATAATGCGGTAGTTTCGCTGTGCTAAGTAATACGCACTTATAATCGCAAGGATAATATGGGTACTGCAAACAAATGCCAACTGCTCAAAGCAATGTCCAAAATCATTGTCCGTCCAAACTGTGATGTTATCCACTCCATTTCCGCAAAAACCAGACCAGCCTTGACCTGCCATTTTCCAATTAGAGCTTGAATTATCAACACCTTACTGATCTTCTAGTTTTCCAAATGACTTGGTCAAGCAAGGTTTCCTATGCACTTAGGCCTAAACACCAGGATATTGTTCAGATAATCCATACATGTATGCACATTATAGTAGTTGAAGTCTTTGTTCAACGCCTGGGTTCCATTCATGCTATATTTACAACAGAGTACAGACATCTAACATTCTGAAAAATACAATAATATTTTTGCAAATATGGATCTACATGTAGGAAATACATAAATGTACATTTGTAGTCACATTACTTAGTTTCCCAATCTTATTGTATGATGTATATGTGTACTACAGGTGAATTTAAGGTAGTTCTGAACATAGAGGGCAGTATAGGGGCAAAAGTTATATCAACATTTCAATATCCTAGATGCGAGTAGAGATAATCTTGATTTCCGTCATCAAAAATTCAGAATTCAGTCAAACTGTCTCAGCATACATGTACATGTACTTTAGGTGCATGACTGGGATGGTATATTTGGTACCCCTTACAGCCATTTTTATCAAAATTTGGTGTTGTTCTTGAAAAAGATTTTACAGACCAATGTTGCTACGTGCATGTTCTGATAGTGATTTCAAAAACGACTGAGATTTAAGGGTACCCGAACCCAATATCCATGTTGAATAGCCCTTGAATATGATGATTGATTGGCTAGCCTGTGAATTCTCAAAGTTCACTGCTGTACATGTTCTCACAAAAGCCCTTGGTGTTCTGAACAGGTAAAACAATTTTTTGAGCTATAATCCAGAGCTGTCAAGTGTCCCGCGAATGGCGGGATTATCCCGCGAATTTGATCAAAATTAGGCTAATTCGCGTGTCCCGCAATGTCCCGCGAAGTCCCGCAAATGTGGTTTTGACCTCCGCGAATTTCCGAAATTGTTGCAATCCCCTATATTGTGATTATCTTATCTTATATAAGAAGCCAAGTTTTTGCACTTTTGAGGAGTAAAGTTTACCTAATTTTAAGCACCTAGCATGCTGTTGTTTGGTATCAAAATAAAGAGGAATGGTTCAACTTTCATTTTAATTACGAAAATAGGGATGTAGGTCAAAAATAGTTCTAACGTTGGCCTTTTTACTATCCGTGTGGCCTTCATCTCAGAACTGAGCAAATGTTAGCAAACGCGAGTTACAATAAATGGACGCTGATATCTAGAAAGGGTTTGTAGAAAAACCGGGTACTGGGTAGTAAATCCTCCATGCTGGGTTCAAACTTGGTACCCGGTACCCGGTCAAAAAACGGGTACCCAAAAAACGAAAAATACGAATATATAACATAATTAAATGTAGATTATGAGAAAACGTGTAAGATTTGTTTTGAATTCACAAAAATGTATGTACCCTTCAAAATTGAGCTAGAAGCTTCAAATAAAAAGCATATTTCAGGCTCTTTTCTTCCTCTATCGTCATGGCCATATTTTCATTGGTTATGGGGGGGGGGGCTGCTATCTCACCATCGCACCATCTCCTGGCTACGCCTATGACATTGTAAGGCATAACAATTTACAATTCAGTGGACATGTTGTCGAAAATTGGGATAACTTAAATTTGATCAATAACACACGTCATTAACACACGTCACCTCCCTGCTAAAGCAACGATAGCTATTTACAGATTTAAATCATAATCAAAACAATTCACGTACCAACAAACGAACTATTGAAAATAGAGTAAGATTGATTTGTCTTGTTTTTCAAATCGTCTTACAATGTCATTGGCGTAGCCAGGAGGGGGTGCGATCGCAGCCCCCCCCCCCTTCATTACCAATGGAAACTGAGGCTCAGGTATACAATCATTAATAAAAAATCAGTAGTATTCTTATTCAATGTAAGTAATATAGTCTATTTATATACATGTATACACCATGCATTACCAACTCAGTACACTAGGGGACTTTTTAAACATTTTTAACGTATTCCTGGGCCTCAGAATGGAAATATGACCATGATGATAGAGGACGAAAAGAGCCTTAAAATGCTTTTTATTTCAAGCTTCTAGCTCAATTTTGAAGGAAGTTACATACATTTTTGTAAATTCAAAACAAATCTTACACGTTTTCTAATGATCTAATTATGTTGTATATTCGTATATTTCGTTCAGTTTTTGGGTACCCGATTTTTCGACCGGGTACCTACCAAGTTTGAACCCAGCATGGAGGATTTACTACCCGGTACCCGTTTTTTTCTACAAACCCTATCTAGAAAAGTAGCCCCATTCCCTATAATTTGATGTAGATTAATCGAACCCCTATATCATGGGCTTTCAATTGAAAGAAAATGCCTACAGTATATGAATAGGTACATTTTAATATATAACATTATGGGGGTAAGCGTTTCATAGTTGTTCACGACGCCAGAAATGCAAAGTATTGTTCCGAATTTTTGAATTTCGTGTTAGATTACGGTACTCACACCTGAAGCATTTTTTGCTTTTGAAAAATTACAATAAAGTTTAATAATATTCCTATACGTATTTTGTGAAATTGTGTTGACGTTTATTTAAGTTACAATACAACGGCGCATTGTATTTGATTAATCAGTATTTGGAAGTTTGATTTAAGTACTTTTTCACGCTTTTACATTAGTCCCAATCACGCAAATCCTTGAATGTCCCGGGACATCCTGCAAATTTAGGTGAATGTCCCGCGAAATCCCGCAAATTTAGGGCACTTTGTCTAAAAAATCTGTCCCTCTATCAAGTTTTTGGCGTTAAACCTGCTAACTATCCCGCAATTAGGGTGTTTGTCCCTCGAATGGTCCCGCGAAATCCCGCGAATTTGAGAAAAAAGGTTGGCCTATTAGCGCAATCACGCAAATCCCTTAAATGTCCCGCGAAATCCCGCGAATTTAGTAGATGTCCCGCAAAATCCCGCGAATTTTGGGCACTGGGTCTAAAAAATCTGTCCCGCGAGAAAATCTTTAGGGGTTGACAGTACTGATAATCTCTTCAAAATAATGGTACTGAGTAATGAGTCAGACTCGGACAGGCAGTCAGTCATTCATAGCAAATGGCCTAGATTTTCTAATTTTTTTTTGAAGGAAAAATTATGCACACGGTATTCTATCGATTAAAATGTGTATTGAACACCGAATCAACAAAATTAAAGCTTCTTACGAAAGAAAAATATTAAATCTATGTTTTGATAGATATTAACCTGTGTATGAAGTTTGCAAGTAGCGTAAAAGGGAAAATAAATAATGATAAAAAATTGTTTCCAAAATTCACACTTACTTCACGACAGTCATGGTAGCCATATGTGGTAATTTATATTATTTTCATCAAGAGTTATTTTGTTTATAATAAGAGTGCAAATTAATGAAACAATAGTTGGAATACAAAATAAGTATAACTCATGATGACAAAGCTCATATAGACCCTGCAAAGGATCAATATAGATGTACCGATTTGGTAATCTTCCAGGCTAAAAACTAACGAGTTACAACTTCTGTTTGTTTTAGTGGCCTTGAAATGGCCTTGAAATTTTTGGAAATCACGTCTGCTATTTTAGTACCCTCAGATCAGGAAATTTGAAAGTCACGTTCCAAGCAAAATCAACAAAAATAAGCAAATTACGAAAGGAGATTATGTTAACTTTGGTTCAACCTTTGGTCGACTCACGTTTCAAAGCTTATAGGCTCATAGTCTCTTGATCAAATTTTGTCTTGCAAAGTTAGAAGAATCTACTGTGGAACTGCGAACTGCTTAGTTTGGAACATCATTTCAGATTACCAAATTCAAAAATGGCAGTTGTTACCAACATCGTAAAATTGTCAGTGTGCGCAGGATGTGGATGTGTATTCGGGTTAGCAATGGAAAAGGGAAGAGGTGAGTATCGATTTGTTGTTGTATCCACGGACGTCAAGTAAGTTTCTGGCGAAAGCCGGAGCATAGATCATTTAACCCTTTAACTACAGCCCATTTTTAAAGAATTTATTGACTCTATGGCCAACATCATGAATAAAGTTAGTTATTATCAATTCTTTTAACACTTCCCTGGAAAGTTATACCTCATTTTAAAGCTTATAAGCCATGGTTTCCAATTTTGATAAAATATGCTAATTTATGCAAATGAGATGACGTCATTGTGACGTCACAAATGACTGTGTGATTGTAAAAAGTGTGAAAAATTCACAAAAAATTCATGGTTACCTTGAGATTGACCAACACTCCCCATATTTATGGATAAGTGTTATATGTCATTTCGAAGCATTTGATCAGAGCTTTACAATGAGCCATCAATGACCTCCCAACTCTTTCATATAAAGAAATTACAGGTCTTTGAACATGCTGGGAAAAGTCATAAAAATGGCGATAAGCAAGAAAAATGCGCGAATCGTTGTAAAAATGCCCATTGACCATTTGACTCTATGGCCAATATCATGAATAAAGTTTGTTATTATCAATTCTTTTAACACTTCCCTGGAAAGTTATACCTCATTGTAAAGCTTATAAGCCATGGTTTCCAATTTTGATAAAATATGCTAATTTATGCAAATGAGATGACGTCATTGTGACGTTACAAATGACTGTACGATTGTAAAAAGTGTGAAAAATTCACAAAAATTTCATGGTTACCTTGAGATTGACCAACACTCCCCATATTTATGGATAAGTGTTATATGTCATTTCGAAGCATTTGATCAGAGCTTTACAATGGGCCATCAATGACCTCCCAACTCTTTCATATAAAGAAATTACAGGTCTTTGAACATGCTGGGAAAAGTCATAAAAATGGCGATTAGCAATAAAAATGCGTGAATCGTTGTAAAAATGCCCATTAGTAAGGACTAACCTCCATTCAATACATTTCATACTTCCCTGGCATGCTACATATCATTTTAAAGCTAAAAATACACATTTCCAAAAACCTATATCATATGATTAATTATTCAAATGAGATTACATCGCAATGACACCGTTTATAAACATTTAGATGCAACGTACAACTTAAGCACTTTTTGGGGTAATAACGACAAAATATACACCAATATTTACCTACCAGTCCTTTATTTCATTTTGAATCTATCTTTTATAGAATAAAATACACATTTAATTGTATTAAAAATGTGATTTAACTAGAAAACAGTAGCACCTGAGTGTAGGTAATCTCTTTCAACAGTCTGGCACTTTAAATAGGCCTACGAAACATTTAATAGTGTCAAAATCCAAAAATTAATTAGCGAAAACATGAAATATAGTAAGCGTAAAAAAATACCTGGGTTACAGAACCTCCATGTTTAACAAATTCCATGTTACCTAGTACCTACACAGTAATTGAATTCAAATGGTATGCTGTGAAACAGTTTCTTCCATCTCAGAAATATTGCATTCCTGATTTGATTTAATTTCAATCTTACTTTGCTGGTAACATCCTAGTACTTACAATTCCTCTGCTTAAAAATTCAATGTTACCTCCATTAATTTTATCTTTTATCTAAGATTCAAATGGAAGGCTGTGAAACAGTTTCTTTCATTCAAGCAAAAGTATTTGTCACAAACATTGCACTTCCAAATTGATTTTCTTTCCGTCCTACTTTGCTGGTAACAAAGTTTGCAGTTCCTCTGCTTGTCTGTTCTGAGAGGTAGATGCATTGCAGCATTACTTTTGGGAACGTTACGGGCTGATGATGATGGTGGTGGAACGCCTTCATCATTGGCAATATTTCCAAGTTGCCTCACCAACTCCTCCCTAAATTCGAGTTGACCATATCCTGAAAATATACCACAGTATTACATACAGCTACTCAGCTAGCATAGTATTTGTATAGGAATCAATGGAAAAGTTAGCGGCAACATTTTACTTCATTGTCAATATGAACACAAAAAAAATTATAACATAGTTATTGCAATTTACCTACATTTTGTAATAATGCAGAGAAAATAAGACCTACTCAAAAAGTCAAACATCAAAAGACCCTAATCACTATTTTCAAACCACATTTAGTATACAATAATCTATGTACATTTAAATGCATTCACAATAATCTATATAAATGCATTTCATCTCAAAGTGATAAGAAGTCAGCAACTTACTTGCTGGTCTCTGCAAATCAGGGTGGTCAGGGAACTTTGTCCTGAGGTGATTGAACAATATGTAGCTGTTCACTACTGCAACATCCACCATGTGAAAAAATAGCACTTTCCACCATTTCCTGCTCCTCTGAAGTATGTTGTACCTGAAAGTAAATCAAAATGTCTGATGTGAAAATCAGAAAGAGCAATCAAGTTTCATTTCCACCTGTAAATGGTAGGCCTATGGTATTTTTACTATTTTGGAACAGAATAATTTACTTACTAAGACACATGCAAGATAACCCATATTTATTGATAAAATCAAAATGTCTGATGTGAAAATCAGAAAGAGCAATCAAGTTTCATTTCCACCCCACCTGTAAATGGTAGGCCTATGGTATTTTTACTATTTTGGAACAGAATAATTTACTAAGACACATGCAAGATAACCCATATTTATTGATATTGGTCCATCTGTTTTGAAATGTAGAATGCATGCTGGAATAAAATATCAAAACCATCAAATTATTTACCTTGCAATCAACTGGTCAGACTTATCCACCCCTCCCATTCCATTATTGTATGCAGAAATAATGTTTGGCCTTCTCACCAGCGTTTGTCTCCATTGACCTGCTTGCTTCACCATACGTCTAAACATATAAATAGCAGTAGCCTAAGTTAGAAATTAGCATAATCAAACATTTATAATTTACAGGGTAAACTGTAAAGTTAGTTCTGCAATGTCAATCATATGGGAACTGTCACAAGTATATTTCAGCACATATGAAAAAAGAGCACAGAGTTCTGAGAAAATTGTTGAGTGTTGAGAAAATTCTGATTTCTATCAAAAGCCTTATGCTTACCTCACAAAATCATGTTGGGATACTGATCCAAAAGATGATAGCATGGTCACCAGTTTGGAATCTTTCCACTGAAGAAAGCACAGCCTATCTTGCCTAACATACCTGACATTACCTAGAAAAATACATTAAATGTAAAGTAAAACTTCATGGTGAAATATGAGCTATTGGTAAGAAATAAATACAGTTCAATACTATCTCAATTAGCAAGTTTTATGGCAATGAACATAATATCACTAAAATGTGAATAAACCCACAGTTCTATTATTCTCAACATTCTTTTCACAAAAACATGTTCGTTACCCTATATTATAACAGCATTATCAAGGGAAAAAATTATTTCAAAACAGAAAATTGATACTTTAAGTGTAACGTTAAATGATCATATAAGAAATAAATATAATTCTATAAGTAATAATAATATTAATACATAACTGGTAAATGTGTTAATATAAAAATGTTATCAAGAATAAAGCTGAAAACTAAGCCATCAAACCATTTCTAACCAACAAGCCCAACAACAAACCAACAATGACCCTGGAAAATCTAGCCTAAGACTACCTCTGTTAGGTTTGACCCATTTATGTTTCAATGTCTGAGGAACGCCGACCCTGTTTTCACGCATAGTACCACAACAGTCTGTATTGTTATATACCAGTTCATTTGCGAGTGCGACACTACTGTACCAGTTGTCGTAAAATACACGATATCCCTGGTTTAATAGGCCCTGCATTAGACTCATGACCGCATCGTAAGCAACTCCATTGTCACCTATTGGTTCATTGTTTTTGCCAGTGTAGACTTTGAATTTGAATGTATATCCTGAGTCCGTTTCGGCCAAAACAAACAATTTAAATCCGAACCGGACAGGTTTGTCCTTATTGAATTGCCGAAATCCACTGTGATGTTTTGATCTGACCATGCGTTCGTCTACTGACACATTTTGATCTGGTTGAAAGAGTTCAATTGAAACATTCTGAATATGGTCGATCAAATTGCGTATTTTTCTTAGTTTATCCTGCACAAATGGGACCTCTCGTGTTGGATCTGATATGTGAAGAAATGCCAAAATTGCCTGAAACCTTTCTCTGGACAAAAACCTCCTAGCCCATAGTCCATTGTACAATGTCTTCAATGACCAGTACCTGTCAATCGTTGCCACATCAACAAATCCCATATAAATCAATATAGCAATGAACTGTCGAATTTCTGGGACAGTTACATCTTGCCAGCCTCCATCAGCAGAAGAATATGATGGCTTGTCTAAGATATTTAACCAGGCATAAAGGTTTGTGTTGTTGACTATTTCTTGTAAAATGACATCTGAGAAGAATAGTGAAAATATGGAAAGGGCAGAGGTAAACTGCAGTAGACCATTACGGGTAAGCCTTCCAAGTTGGATGCCTGGCTCTTTGATTGGACGAAATTGAAATGGGTTGGGGGCAATATCATTTTGACCATACCCGTATTTTATCTGGTCATTAGCCACATCCCGGGGCAAAGGTCTTCCTTGTGCTGCATCACCTCCTGGACCAGGGGCATCAGGTAGGCTATCATCAGAATCAACACCATTGTCAGCAAGACTGTCATCAGAATCAGTATCATCATCAGCTGTAGAATCAGCATCACTATCATCAATTTGCCTAAAATGTTGAAAAGACCTGTTCAAATATCATAGATTTTGAAAATTTTGCCATGGGATGCAGGTAGTATGAATTGACATGGAAATCTGGGTAAAAGAAGCAATATTTATAGATATTAACAAATAAAGAAGCAACAGTCATATTTGTATACTGGTTAACTGATTCTGTTTATTGAAGCAGATAGATAGAAAAGTGCGTAAACTTGAATGTACCCTATTATCGCCCACTCGCGATGGACCGGAAGTAACTTATTCAGCAATTTTATGGACATTTCATCGCTATTTCCTATGGTAAAATACCATGTTATGGT